AAAAAGATTGGCTTCCCTACCACCCACGCAACACCTTGCTTTGTCATTTTATGGCATCTAGCACTTCTGGATGTGACATCATCTATTTGTCAACTTGTTTATTGTCATCTCAACTAGTTACAAGCCCTGTGAGGATGTGATTAACACCCTTCTATGGTGTGATCACACTGGCCAAGTAGCTACTTCCAGAAATGTGTTGAGGTATTGCCAGAGCATGGGATGGCTGTCCATGTGGATGCTGGGATAGGGACAGGCAGCTCCCAAAGAAGCTCTAAACTGGATTCTTCAGCTTGCAGGGGAGTCTGTCTGGAGTGGGTGCTGGTCAACTTTTAGATGGGCAGTGAATGAGCAGTAAGACTTGTGATTGTGCAAGTGTTATGTATCTGCACTGTCCGAGATAGTAGCCACCAGCCACAAGTTGTTCCTGAGCACCTACATGTGGCTAATGTAAGGGAGAGACTGAATATTAATTTATTGAATTCTATCTAGGGGCTCAGCAGTTAAGAACACTGGTTGTTCTTGCAGAAGACCCGGGTTCGAATCCCAGCACCCACATGGCAGCTAACAACTGTCCATAACTTCTGTCCTAGGGGATCCGACAGCCTCTTCTGTCCTCCGAGGGTGTTGCACCACACGGGTGCACTCACCTACATGCAGGCGATACACACATACACATAAAATAAAAATAATAAATAAAAATTTTTAAAAAGTTTAATTTTATAGAATTCTATCTAAAATGTAAATGGCCACCTGTGACTAGTGGCTGGCTTCTTTACAGATCCACACAGCTTTGACCTTCCACTACATTATACCTATGTGCACAGAGCTGAGAGGATGAAAGTTAAGAAAGATGTCTCTAAGTTTGTAGAAGACAGGTTGCCTTCTTCCTACAATCTAAACAGGAAACAGCATTCATCTTCCAATGAGTGAAATGGAACAGAGGCACGGAGGGTAAAATGACGGTATGTACAGAGGAGCAGTGAACACTCAGAGCAAAAGCTCTTCATTATTTCTACAGTCCCTCAGAATCTGCACATGAAAGGCTCCCACACCATCCCTGAGAAGCTTCTGCTTCCCGCTGCCATCTCCTCACCTGCTTACAATGGTCCGCACCCTCTGGAAAGCTCTGGGAACTCTGCCAAAAGCCATGTCAGAGTAAGGAACTAGTAGTTCTCCAGTGGGGCTACCCCTTGGACTCACCTGGGCTTTGAAAACTCCCATCACCACAGCTTCCTCAAAAGCAATCCAACCCACATCTCAGGGGCAACTTCACAGCAGTACTGTAAAAACCTCCCCAGGTGATTGCAATGTGACTAAATCTGAGAATCTGGTGTAGCCAACAAGGCATGAAGCCAGACAGAGTTTATGATCTTGTACTATCCTGGGACCTTGGATGGCTTGTTGGGAGCAGTGCAGCTAAGTAGGAATCAGCTGGAGAACTTTAAAAGAGGGTCCCCTCCGGAGATGTGTGTTTGAGGGGTCTGGGTTATGCACAGATATCAGAATTTTTTAAAGCTTCTAGGTAATTCTAATGTGAAGTTAAGGCCAAGAACCATCCAGTTTGGAAACAACTTTGTACAAACATGCTAGACACAATTCAAATTCCTGCTAGAAGCTGGCTGGTGTGTCCTTCATATTACTCCCACTTACTGAATATCTACTGTGTAGTGGGCATCGTGCTTAACACAGACATGAACTCAGACCTCACCCTTTTAGAAAGTTATCTGAAACATGCAAATGAGCTAGCCCAGGTGCCAGGCACAAATTAACCAGTCTTCCTGGCACAGAATAACTTTGTCAGCAGGCAAATGCTTTTGCATATTTTGGATCTAACTTCTTTAGAGCTATGTGTGGTTGTGGTGACAAAATTGATCTGGAAAGAAAGTATAGAAGAGAGTAAAGAGAGAGCCACTCTTTTGTCACCTAGAAGAAGGGACTGGGTGAAGGCCTAGCAGTCCTGGGCTCCCGCTCTGACTGCTGTCACCTAGGGATGTGGGTTGTCCATGGGGTTTTCTGCAGATCTGTAGCCTGGACAGACAGGAGAAGTACCATGTCTGGTCAGGTGAAAACAGCATTTTAAACTTCTACTACATTTCTGCCAGAGCATATTTATCACAAACCCAAAATTGTTAGCAACATATAAGATTTTTTTTTAAGAAAAATAATCATAATCTTTCCCCATCCCTCAACCTCATCATTTTCATTCATTCATAACATTTTGTAAGAAAACTAAGAGCTTTCCAGGTAGAATGCTGTTCTGCTGGACACCTGCTTTAGGAAAAGTTCTGGAAGAAGCTGCCCTCAGGTAATGGAGAGAGTCTTTTGGCCCTGTCCCTCCCTGGGGGTGTCAGGATGTCAAAAAATTCCTAACAGGTGGGTCCTTCAAGGAGTCATCTATCCAAGTCATCTTGCCCGTGTCTTGGTTTCTGTTTGTACTTGCAGTCACACGTATAAAAAGAACCTTGATGTAATGAAAATCCAAGCAGGAAAACCTCAGCCTCTGCTCAGAGTAGATGACCATGATTTTACCATGAGGCCAGCCTTTGGAGGTAAGAGGGCATGCCCCCAACACCTCCTATTGCTGGGTCCCTCCCTCCTTGCCTCTCCTGTCCCCAGCAATGCTGCACTGAGATGCTGCCTGGCTCAGTTCTATCAGCCACAGCCCTTCCCTAGGAGGTGCAATCCCTGCCCCCCAGTGAGATAAACTGCATCACTCATTTTCCTGGGAGGTGAGGTCACAAGCAGCTGGAAGGCTGTTGACAGAAAGAGGCTGCAGGTGACTCAGCTGTTTACTCCCACAAAGAAGAATAGGTCAGTTTTCTTTTGACAAAACAAACCAACCAACCAAAACCAGTCAAGGATTATAGGGACACAAAATAGCTCCTTGGCCTGCCTGCTCCAGGACTAGCTGGAGATTTCCGGTTGTGGAGCCACCTACATTCCCAGGCTGCAGTAAGTTCACTTATTACTGAGGTCCCTCCCACACTCACCCCAAGAGCTTTCCCATTTTGGGATTAGGGAGGGGGCATGTAGCTCCCAGGATCTGGAGAAGCACCTCACTGGGCCTGAATCTTAGTTTGGGCTGCCAAAACAAAGTACTACACACAGGCAGAGCAGCTCAGAAACAAGCCACATCTGTTTCTTATGTAGGAGAGAAAAACCACAGAGGACAAGCCAGCCTTTGGGTTGCAACAGCAAGAGGTTTATTTAGTACACAGGTACCTGTGGGCACAAAGTCTCCTCGGGGGACTTGCGCGCCTCAGGTCGGGTTTGGGGAGCTTTTATAGGGCAGAAGCAGGGTACAGAAGCAGAAACGCGGTTATTGGTTCATTTAAACTATTACAAAATGCTACAGGGAGAGCGGGAAGCTGACTTATCACTAAGCCAGATGTTTCCACCATAAAACCTCACTTATCAGTGAGGTGGAGATGTTCCCACCATAAAACTTACTTATCAGGAGGCCAGATGTCTCAGCCATAAAACTTACTTATCAGGAGGCCAGATGTCTCAGCCATAAAACTTACTTATCAGGAGGCCAGATGTCTCAGCCATAAAACTTACTTATCAGGAGGCCAGATGTCTCAGCCATAAAACTTACTTATCAGGAGGCCAGATGTCTCAGCCATAAAACTTACTTATCAGGAGGCCAGATGTCTCAGCCATAAAACTTACTTATCAGGAGGCCAGATGTCTCAGCCATAAAACTTACTTATCAGGAGGCCAGATGTCTCAGCCATAAAACTTACTTATCAGGAGGCCAGATGTCTCAGCCATAAAACTTACTTATCAGGGAGTTGGAATTCCTGACCGGTACGCGACCTGCCTGAGAGACTTCATGGCTC